CCCCGTCGTCACTTTAAATGGGCAGGACCAGGCGCCTAGGCGTATTCCTGTTAAGCCGGGGGCCCTTTAGCACAAAGCAAACATCGCCTTCAAATTACTGATTCGAGTAATACAGAATGTGAGGCAAGCCGGACAACATTACCAACATTGGGGTGAATCAAATATTCCTTAAGTGAACTGAAAATGGGCGAGGGCGTCAGCACCCTTCGCAATCTTCAAATGGATTAAGTCGCCCTTAAGCCTGGTTCACATATGCCTGCGGCATGCCTGCGACTGTATCATTATGCCTCAACTTGCCGCCGAAATACCGGGAAAGTTGAACTCAACGTCTCTAATATATGGTTATATATTTCCGAAACTTTTGTGGTTTTTCAACAACCATTGCCCCCCCAACCCCCCATCGATCAATCCGCCTTAATTTCACCCGATCTGCAGGCTGGAAGTTTTGGGCGGGAAAAATGACCAATCACGTCGCAGCTTTTATCCGTAAAGCCGCGAATTCAAAACATAAAGAGCTTTCGAACAAGAAGCCGCAGTTTTTGCTTCAGAAACCTAAAAAAACTGTAGTATTTGTGGCTAAAACAATTCAAAAGTATGATGCAAGACACAATGAAGATGGTTTCGTGGTTTTTCAAAGGTATCTGAGGATTTTAGCCCAAAATTATTGTAAATATGACCAGTTTGCTGAGTGAAAAAAAAATCATTCTAAATCCAAAATGGCTTTATATCTGTGCCGAAACGAGTTAATTTTCAAGATGAAACGGCGATTAAATGAAAATTTCAACGCTATATAAGAAAGGTTAGTATCTTTTATTCCCTATATACCGTAATCTACGCTCTATTTTTTAAATTTACAGCCGCTTCCAGTGTGTTTTCGAGCTTCGATTAATACTAGTAGTCTGGTTTCCACAAGTAGCCTTTTTGCTTTGAACAGTTTGTTGTATATTTGCGTTTAAAATAGTAAAACTTCAACTATATTCCATGATTGCTCAACAAATTTGACTGAATCTAGAGGCCAAGTTCTAGATTGTGTTGAATTCTATAATGGTAGATATAATCATCATAATCCTATGTATTAATTTAGACTTTGGGATGCTTGAATGCTTCGGATTTCTCTTCATGTATTTTGATTGACATCGTAAAGATTTTATGTAAGTGAAATAAAAAAATAAACGTTTAAGTTTATCAACTTTACGTAGCTGTAGACAAACATAATTACTATATATTGATAAATATATAGTCTAAGAAACTAAATTCATCTTTCATGTATTTTGTATGAAAGGCCGTCTTGAAGTTATAGTCCCGAGTTTTTATTCAAAACAAATCTAAACTTGGTATGCTGGTATGTTGATATATAAAATATTAATAACTGACCGAAAATGTGGCACCATAGAATAGGATATAGAAGGACAACTCGAGTATGAAATTTTAAATGAAGTTTGCATGTTGACTTTGATCACCATTATTCTGGGCAGTATTAAAACTAAACTGCATCAAATTGAGAGGTTATATGCCTTGCCCACTACAGTATATTCCCTTCATTTCCTATTCTATGATGGTACTAAATTCTACTAAATTGTACTAAGTGGCCGCTGATTATTGATTGCTCAGGGGGCCCGATGAGAAACTCTGTAGATGAGGAACTCTGCAGAAAATTTAAATAGAATTCTCAACCCCCCCCCCCCTCCCCGCAAACAAATTGCAAGTTGAAATTCACAAAAGATTTGTAAACAAAGCCTCTGATTGGATTATAAGAAAGAGGGAAGCCAATCAAATAGTCTGAGCAACTGGATTGGTGCTTGCAATTTGTTTACATCGGTTGCAAATTCCTCAGAGCAATCTGCCTATCAAAATTGCAATATAGAGCAGCAATGTATATGCACTATAGAAATTCATTATTATTATTATTAATATTGTAATGTTGCTTGCAAGAGAACATCCGGTTTTACTGTAGCATTTTTAGGGCGTATTATAGGGCGCATCTGGGCGCATTGCCATTTAACGGGTCTTGATTATTAGCTTTAGTGTATTGTAAACACCACCTATAAATTCAAGTTTCACCTCTCTTTTATGCTGACACATATACATAAACTTATTCATTTGCAAATAATTAGAGCAATAATGTTTCATGTATACTGTACAACATCAGTAACATAATTTGAACATTGACATTTTAAATATTTATTAACATTTGGCTGGTCAACTGATTGCCAAAAGATATAAAATTATCTTAAAAATCAGCTGCCCAAAGATGAAAAATCTTAACAGCTTAGAAGTCTGCCCCCAACTGTGTTTGTTAAGTTATATAATATTATGTGCGGTCCCTAACCTATACTTCCTGACTGTGTTTGTTAAGTTATACAGGGTGTATCAAAAAAAGCGCAATCCTCGACTGAAATGTAAATTGCTAAACAAATAATAGACGAAAACGTTAAAGTTTACATTCATTTTAAAGCGTAGCCATTCAGCTTTCTAACAGTGGGTTGTTTCTTAAATTTGACTCATTGGTTCGCGGGTAATAATACTTTACGTTATTGCGATTGGAGATTAAAAAATTGAGATGGAATAACAAATCGTTCTCATGAAAATAACTGATTTTTCATTAAAACAAACAAATGTTGCATTTTATTAAATGGATTGTAACAATAAGTATAATTACGGCTTTTCTTCCACTATTTTTAACTCAGTTTGAAACTTCAAATGCGATATAATTTTGGCTTGGACCATCTAATCTGACTGACATCAACTTGCTATAATTTTTGTTTACATTACATCGCAATTCGATGACACTCTGGCTCAGACACCAGAATGTTTTGACGATTTTTAGCATTCGTTTAGGATTTTCAAACAACCTGGTCTCTTTTAAAATACTTTTAATTTGTTCTTACGTGGTTTTCCAGATGTAGTGACGACAACATTAAAGTTTAAATAAGAAAATTCTAACATTTAAACTGACTATAAACAATAACATAGTAAACTTGCATAACTAAACAGCAACTAAAAATGATAGGTTTTACTAAATCTTTTCTTGTGCAATTATTACTAGCATTGGAGACAAGGATAATAGTTTGTTTGAAAGAGAAAAGAACAGGCTTTGAAGTAAGCCTAAAACCGTTTAACTAGAAATAGTATTTCGAAAGTTATTAAGCACAAAAAGTGAATTGCGTTTATTTTGATACACCCTGTACAGTATATTATGCATGGT